TGATCGCGAAATTTGAGAATCGTTCTTGATTCACAAGTTCAATAATTTGTTATCCGGCATTAACGAATGCGTTGGCAAAGTGTAATGCATTTCTACGATGGCCTGACGTCCGCATTTTTGCGAAATATTTAAAGAAGCATCCTTAACGTATTCTATATTTCCTAAAGGTTATCACACATTTATTATTTTATTTTTTCATATCTTTTTATTTTCATGCATGGTCCTCGTCGTCAATGGTGAATGTTACAAATGCTTTTTTACATGCCCACAATCGTGTCTAATGTATTACATTTTAAAGGTTTTTTTGTGTAGTCAGGGCTGTTTCAAAGAATTTTTGTGACACTCACATGCTGATCGCACGTGTTTTGTACTGACGTGTTCATGTCTGCCCATAAAAGCGGCCACACTCGTGTTTCTGTTAATCCTGACGAAGGCCGTGCCACGGCCGAAACGTAGAGTAAACAACTATCAAATTTTCGTAAGTGTACTCCTTTATTTCTTAATTATATTTGCACTGGGCCCACAGAATTTCTTTTTTTGAATCCTATATATATATATATATATATATATATATATATATATATAGACATAGGCATGGTTGAGTGGCCATAGCGTTGCAAGTAGTCAAGGTGATCCTCCGTGAGCGGTCACAATGTAGTTTATTTCGATGTTTCGGCCTAGAATGTGGCCTTCATAGATGAAGGCCAGACTATATATATATATATATATATATATATATATATATATAAGCTCTAAAAGGTATTTACTACGGTACTTTCGGTGCCTGGTCATTTTTACATGCTGCCGATGATCCATAAGGAGGGCAACCCTGGCTGACCCATTATATCAGGCATAGTAAGAACGTTAATGAAACCCATTTCTAGTTATATTGACTCTTTAGTCCAAAACATACCACCCACACATGAGTCCTCTTTGCGTGACACAGACCATTTCCTTCGGGAAATATCGCACGTGAAAATTCCAGAAGGTGCATTCCTCGTAACATTGGATGTTAATTCACTCTACACAAATATCCCACATGACGATAGCGTAAGGGCACTTGTTGAATCGTATGGCACCCACAACCCTATCACATATCCAAACCAAAAGGTATTTGAAATTTTAACGAGACTTGTACTTGAATTGAACAGCTTTGATTTTAACAATGGGTACTACCTTCAAATCAACGGCTAGGCAATGGGTACAAGAATCACCCCAAACTACGCTAACATATCCATGCATTAACTATATAGAGCCCAATGTTTTTTCATCTTGTTATATCAAACCTTTAATCTATAAACGGTATCGAGACGATATATTGATGATTTGGATACATTCAAAAAACGAGCTGCTCAAATTCATACAGGCATTTAACCAAGTACACCCCATCAATTATTTTGCACGCTCTTACTCCAACACTTAATTAAGTTTTCTTTGTGTACTTATTCGAATGGTTGATGGTGCGTTGGTAACTAGCGTATACAGGAAACCTACGGACATGCAACAATACTTGCACTTTTAAAGCTGCCACCCGTGACACTGCAAGACCAGCATTCCCTATTCCCAAGCGCACAGATTCTGACGACTGTGCTCCCACACAGAGGACTTCCACAAAAACAGCACACATATGCGCGAAGTACTCCTTTATGAAGAATACCCGTCAGCTATCATTGATGAAGCCATCAAAAAAGCGGAAAATCTTCACCGCCAGACTCTTCTACACCACCAAAAAGATGCCGACATGCACCGTAACAAACAAAAGTTTGCTAATAACTTTCACGAGCAACCCACCTAGCATAAACAAGGTCCCAAGAAAACACTTTAACATATTGGAACAGAGCGTGCGACTATCAAAAATTTTCACTTCTCCTTCTTGTGTGGTATACAGGCGGCCGAAAAGTATAAGGGATCATTTGATAAATTCAAAAATAGATGTCAAACCTCAAACAGGACGTCGCCCTTGTGAAAAAAAGCAGATGCAAAGTATTCCAACACATGCAGGCAACGAAAGTGGCGGAAAGCACCTACTCGGATTTTAAGCACAGGATAGGAGGTGCACTGGACTGTGACTCGGTTAACGTCATATACCTTCTGGAATGTGGGGCATGTAACATGCACTACGTGGGCCAGACAGACACACCGCTTAGAATTAGATTCAACAACCATCGGGCACATGTACGTTCCCTGCCAGGCCTTCCACTTTCAGAACACAGTACATTAAAAGACCACAGCTTTGATGACATCAGGGTTACATTATTGGAAAGCTGTTTTCGAACAATCAGAGAGAGGGAACAGCGGGATTCTTACTTTATCTACAAATTCAACACAATAAAAAAACGAAATAAATGAACACCGAGGTACTCTGTCAGCGTTTCGATCACTAAAAGACGAAAACGCCTCTTTTTATTCAGTACTCTGCCTCTAGCCTCCCATTAAAACAATTATATGAATACTTAACAAATCTTTTAGCGTATACATCTGATAATAAAGAAATGGTTTGCCACTTTCTTTTTTTCTTTCTTTTTCCTTTCCTTTGCTTTCTTTTCTTTCTTTTCCTTTCTTTTGCTTCCTTTTCTTTTTGCTTTTTTCTTGCCTTTTCGTTCTTCTTTTCCTTCACTCACAGGAGCCAATGCATATAATGAATATTGATAACGGAGCCACAATCACCGGCTCTTTCATATCTTCCAACGCCACCAACATGCACTCCAAGCGTTTAAGCTCTCCCACCGATTCGTCCTAAACTTCAAAAGAGGGCAAGCTGCCAGCGGATTGCACCGGAGGGTGAAATAGAGAAACGGTGGTCAAAATGTTCACTTGGGGGAAGGGTGGGTGCTTGGGAAGTACTGTTGACGAAGATGACATAGCTCGTTTACGTTCGCCTTTGTTGAAATCCCATTCCTTTCCCATCCCGCCATGCCCCTCTTGCTTCTTTGGAACGTTTCTCCCTCCCCATTTTCTTTTTTCTTCTGTTTTTGTTATTGTTAATATTTTTCTTCTGTACCCTTCCCTCCTGTCTTAAGAAGCTAGACGGGATTCCCGTCGAAACGTTGGCTGAATAAACAAGATTTTGCGCATCTACTCATATATATATATATATATATATATATATATATATATATATATATATATATATATATATATATATATATATATATATATATATACTCAAATAAGTGCCTGAGGTATGGCCGCCGTGGTGGCTCAGGGGTTAGAGCGTGGGCGTGTTGTTCGGGGGTCGTGGGTTCGATTCCTGCTCACGGCGGGTTATTTTTTTCACCCACTTTTCTTTCTTCTTGTTTCTATTACATTGGTTCTAATGACTTCCCCTGTGCATTTCTTGGCGTTGTCTGTTGGATCTCATTGATATTGTATCAAAGCACGAAAAACGAGCCCTTGGGTATACAGTTCTTTCTCTCATATATATATATATATATATATATATATATATATATATATATATATATATATATGCAAGATCACTAAGTTTTTGAAAATTTTTTTACCACATGTATACATCCACTAATGGAATGAATGTTATGGTAAGTATTATTCGCAACTCGCCAAAAAGTTATGTTTCGATTATATTCCACTTGAAAAAGCTTAATAAATGAAAACACGCTGCAATTCGAAAGTGGTAGCACTCAGTACTGGCTCGCAATGGTTTCACATGTAAACAGTTTGCATCCCTAGATAGCGACATAAAGAATGCGATTTGTGTATTTGGTATGTTAGGTTCAACGTCCCAAAGCCACCATGTGGTTATGAGAGACGCCGTAGTGGTAGGCTTTGGAAATTTCGAACACCTGCGATTTTTCAAAAGGTTGCGAATTGTGCGAGGAGAACTTACACTTGCCGTTCACCACACTTGCTTTGCATTATAAGCGTTAGTCCAATGAGTATGTTGCACTTCTTATGCACAAAATACGTGTTCTTTTCTATCGCATAGTGTCATGGTTGCGAAAAATACTCCCATTCCCACTGCAGCATAAGGTGGAATATTGAAAAAAAAAAGACAACGTCGAATGACTTCGCGTTGGGACCTTCATTCCTATAGGCACCCGGCAATGCAGTTTACGAGACCTGATGGTAGCGCCAGGACACACTGCCTAGCGAGTAGGCGCAGCAAAATCGAGTCCTCCAATGCGTAGCCCAACGAGTAGACGCAGCGAAATTTGACTTGCATGTCCATATCATTTTCTTTTTCCGTTGTGAGCAGGGGGGTCACGACTGATTATGTAAGCACCCGAAAGCGTTCGTTTAAAACGTGTCAGAAAGGGCACTGACACTTCAGCGTGTGACTTTGTTAAGCGAGCGTTTCATTTTCTTAGTATCCCTAGTGGTTGGTACCATTAATGCTGAGGTGGCCCAAAACGCTTCGTCACACCCTCTTGTCCACTGTTGGGTGCCTACAGCACACTGAACAAATGCAAGTATTTGTAGTGAGTTTGAAGACAAGATCTTCATTCTCATACCGCTTCCTCCACGGCTCAATAGATGAGCTACAGTATCGGGCGACCCACATTGACTGGGCTTCGTGAAAGCACGCTTTGAAAAACACTTGCCGTCCTGTGGTGCAGGTCAGAGATAGAATGAGGTGCATCAGTGTGGCTAGTTTTTCTAGTTACTGCGGAGGTTTATCTTCGTTGCCGCAATGCATCGAAGCTGTCTCACTTCCTTACTCGATTCGTGATATTGTGCAGTCGGCTACACAACTAGGAAACTATAGTGACTTCCGTAGTCGAGACACACTGTATACAAGCACAGGGACGTCTTCTTTTGTGCCCAGAAGCAGAGCCTTTGGTTAGGTAAGGCTAGATACCACGATAACGGTTTCTTATCGTCGAGTTCCTGCATGTCGTCGTGCTACTTTGTTGCTTTGTGGCTTCACGTACCCTTTTACAGGCGCGATGGACTTTCACCACTCTCTGTCCCTTCAGCGATACTGCTTAACCGAGTCAGTATATAAACTGGGTACGACGACACACAGCCAGCCACCGTAGTCCTCCGTTTCTTTGAACGTGGAGAATGACCACCATGGTAAGCGCTAGCATACTTTAGCTACCGCAGCTTCATTGCTGTGAGTAATCATAATTGCGCGTGGATCTGATGTCAAAAAGATGTGCACCTGATCAGCAGCGTTATTTTAGGAAAATGAATCACGCATTTCTCGCGTTTCCTACAAGGCCTATCGCATAGTAGGTGGTCATTGTGGCCTCCTTGTCCGTCACGAACGACTAGAATATAGGCACTAAAAAGCAGGCAACAGAATCGACATCAAATTTGCCTTCCGTGACCTTCAGTGCTATTTCTTTCGCACAAAAATGCTTACAAAAAACTGATATTTCACTTTGCAAGTTCTTTGTAATGTCACTTGTTGAGCACTGAACCTCAATTATTTCAGTGTTCAGGACGTCTAATTTACCTTCTTTGTTTTATGGATATCCATATATGTTTTTGTGGCTTGATGCAAATTTTATTTTTATGTAATTTGCCTCTGTCTGGAAGTGAATGCACGAACCAGATTATGAGAGCGCCTTCTTTTATAGTGACCTCACAACAAAAAGAAGCTTGCTAGCTTAGTAGTCTCAATATAGGCGCACCTTTTCAAATGCTCGAAAATTTCACAAGAACGTTAACTCAAGGCACTTGTATAATTCACGGAAGAGAGGTACACAGGTGTACTTCCTGAAAAATGAGCATGACGAAAGTTTATTATTCATTGAATATAAGCAGTGTTTAGGTGCGTGAAAGTGATACAATATTACCAAAAGCATCATCTGTCGTGTACCAAGAGGATCACTGTGCTGATTATGCGGCTGCTTTGAGCGTTTCGACACAGCATTGTCATCAGGGTCTTGCAATAGAATCATGTAGAGCCATCAGTAAAGTGGTTACGGCGAAGGCGAACTCCTGAACTGAATCTACGATTATCTGTGCAACGGAAATGGTTTCTGTCACAACACTGTGCCAAAGACGGGAAGCAGCATTACTACGTCTTACTTTTGTAAATTCAATTCAAGTTTTTCTCTGTTAAGTGGGAATTAGGTAGCGCTACACCAAGGTGGATATCTTTTATTTCATTTTCAGTTTGTAGTTGAATAAATATCAAGCGTTCTTATTCTGTTTTCTTAACCACTTTGTGTCAGCAGGACATCTTTCTTGTGTCAGTGTTAGCACGCAAAACGTTTTAACATTTCTTAGCATTCATTACCACAGCGTCTTTCGACCTAACACGATCGCATTTCATTCAAGCTCATGAGTTTGAATTCTATGTTGGCAAAGCTGGTCTTTATTAAACGTCTGTATGAGGCGTGATTGGGCCGTATCTTTTTTAATGCCAAGCTTCACTTCCAAAGAGCCTTAAAATAACCCCCTCGGTTAGAAGTTCGGTGACCTAATCTTCGTCTTGACCTAATCTTGAACGCCTCATGCTAATTTAGAGACTCTTCTGAATGCCATTGCTAGAAGTGCGCGGCAGGTGGACTAGGAGTACAACCCCCTCCTGTTTATTACGCTGCACCATTCTTGTCGACTCACATAGGCAAGTTTTTCTAATTTCTGCATCAGACATGGCCATTCTAACCTTGTTATGGTCATTCCTTTGCATCTACTGCGAATACAAAATTTCTCAATATTGATCCTTTATTGCCTCGTTTTTATAAAGTTTTGTGTGTGTGTTGGGCTGTACTGTCGAACCTTCATATAAGTCACGTGTTAATTTGCTTCTAACTCCCTGTTTGTGGCCACCTTTTTTGAGTTCAACCACGCGTTTCGTCTTGTCTCGAGACATACGTCGAGTCGACATGCATATGTGCGGGGCGAACATTTGTGTCGCAAGCATTAAAAATCAACGTCTCAAAGTTTAGAAACAACTCACTGTATATTTATGTTCGAGTGATAGCCAACAGCTACATTAAAATGTCGATAAGCTGGAACAGAAGAATAATTTGAGAAACCATCATTGTTGTACGCGCCGTTGTGTTCAAACCTTTTTACTGACCTACAGGTACTGCTGGTCGTGTCAAAGTTATTCGGTTCACGAACAGTACATCACGTATACTTTGTATTTGTTTATATTTGCAGGTGAAACTCTTTGCATTGCTTCTCGTATTCGCCATGTACCTCGTCTCCCCAGTGGTGGACGCTGGAGGAGTCAGTTATATTGGATCAGGCTATGGCGGCCTCGGGTATGGAGCTGGTGGCTACGGAGGTCTTGGCTACGGTGGCCTGAATGGTGCCGGCCTAGGTGTAGTCGGCTTGGGTGGTGTCGGCCTGAATGGAGCGGGCCTGGGTGGTGTTGGCCTGCTTGGAGCTGGCCTGGGTGGAGCTGGCCTGGGTGGTGTCGGCCTGGGTGGTGTCGGCCTAGCTGGAGCTGGCCTGGGTGGAGCTGGCCTAGGGTGGTGTTGGCGTGGGCAGCAGCGTTGCTCTCCTTAGTGGGGGACCCGCCTTCGCCAAGCTGGTAGCTGGGCCCGCTTTTGTTGTCAGAACCGTTCACCACGTCAACAAAGTCAATGCTGGAGGAGCCCTCCTCGCCCACTCCGGCCTGGGAAGTGGATACGGACGTGGCGGCTATGGGGGCTATGGAGGATACGGCGGATATGGCTACAAAGGCTAATTTTGGTGTTCACTGACTTGCTGCTTTAATTGCAGCACTCTTAAAATGTAACATTTTCACATATCTTTCACCAATACATCGATAAAGCTTTTGTGTGACTTGATTCTGGTTGTTCGCTGAATAAATATGTGGACTGTCATAGTTCATAATTCCCCAATACAAAGCCTTTTGTGGTGTTGGTAGCTTTATGGTGGTGTTCACATAAATCTCTTGTTGATGTGTATAGTGCACCGAGAAAGAATACCTAATTGGCTTGCTAATACTGTTGATATTTATTTTTCTCATAAGGCAGGCATAACTGAGACCTTAGGTAACTGATAATACTAAGTTTTTCATACCTCATTATAAGACAGAGACTTCACTGAGACCTTCTATTCGGTGCTTGTTTACTTCGTTTCGGAGTTTCACAGCCAAGATATTCTCCGTTCAATATACATTGTTTTTCGAAATAAACAAAGGGATAGGTGATATTTACAAAGCAGCTACATCTTGAAATACTCGCTGTATTTGATTTTCAAAAAATAAGAACTCACTACACTTTGAATAGAAAGCGTTTTCCTAATATAACCTTCACAATTAGCTACATTTAAAAAAAGCACCAGACCGTCACATAAAGACTGCTCTTCTGGTGTGTTTTTGGACAAAGCTTTATTTTATCCTAAAAAGTAGTGTCATGATGCAGGGCCCTTATGCTGCCTTGCGCATGCTCGATAACTAAGCACATGAGGAGTACTAAAATATATTACCAAAACTACTGAAACGAAGTTGACAATCAGGCTACGTTATTTATGGTCCTGGACGAGAGTAAAGTTTTTAACGCGCACAAGATTGCTTATTGAAACACATTCAATATGACAACAATAAAGGAGCAATGAAACAAAACTTGGCTCCTCGCATCTTCTTGATTCAATAGGGAGCTTGTGGCCAAGTTATCACAGCTGGAAAGCTCGTTTGCATGAGTGTGCAACGGTTGTTTATTTAGCGATGGTTTGCAGCGCCCAGACGTAGCTGCGGTTTGAAAGAGCACCGAGGTGGAGAGGACCGGTTCCCATTGGCTAAGTTAACAACACTAGACACGTCACTGTGCAAAGTAGTGGCGTCAGAACCGCGAGCAAGCGGACGCCGCACTCACCTGGCAACACAAACTCATGACGTCGGTTTGTTTACGCTGACACTGTGTTGACATCGGTGCTATTAGGCCCTCCACATCTCACTCAGCTTTCCGGCATGCCGTTAAAAAGTCATTTAAGATAAATATGTTATAATATATATTTGCACTTGATATATTGTAAATTTGTGTCTCCACAAATGTATCTCAATTTTGTCGCGCTGAATAGTTGGGGTCAGTGATCCTTCGAAAACCTACAAAAACAACAAAAATACAAAGAGAATGGTAATAGTCAAGTTGCCACAGCAAATACACTCTTCAAGGAGAAAAATTTTATACCAAAAACACGGTCGAATCAGTAATGTTGAGCAGTCATGAACCACTGGGCCTACTTCGTGCAGTTAACTCGGGTATCTTTCCTGCCCGCCATGCATTTTACGCGTGGACCGTTGTGAAAAAATTTGCACGTGTACTCGCCAAGAAAATCTTACAGCAAGTCTACATAATGGTGGTCGCAGTACAGCGTCCGCTGTTTTACTTTACCATACTCGGCGACAACTTTCTGTGGCAGCACAGTGAAGGCTACGAAGCCCAAGCATGCCCTTTTTTACTACGCTTCTGCAAGTAGAGCACGAACGCTAACTTATATATATAGCGTAGCATAAGGGAAAATATAATATGAAAATACATAAATTTGAAGTTCAAGACGGTTGGCATTTTAATTAGGAAACTTACACCTTGCAAGATTTTCTGTCTTCGCTGTTTCTAGTTTTCTGGTTTTCTGGTCATATCACGTTTTCCCGTCCCGGTAAACAACGATGGCGTTGTTCGGTTGCAGAAAGTTAAGATTGAAGCTTGTGAGCGAGCATGAGTGTAAGTTCGTTAGGTGATCAGTTTTCATCGAGAAGGTAGAAATGAAGATACCGGTGCGTCGTGAAATATTTGTGCCCTGCACATGCAATCACCGTGAAGTTGTGAGCAAGTGATACCATCAGCGAATGCGAGACTCTCATTGTGATAGGCGCTTTGAAAGTGACACCAGCACCCTGGCAGTCTTCAGCAAGGCCTCAGCGGCTTGAAAGAGAAATATCGATTGAAAATTGTGCGTAAAAACAATGACTTTTTTCTTAATTGCATTCCATAAGTGGTCGGTATTTTGGTATACGATCACTCTGAAGATCGAGTGCTGGAACACCGTACCTGTCGGCGTCTACGGAGGAAGTGGTTCTTGGCGCTTTGCATTGACAGCAATTTATGACGATAAAATTACCAATGCAAATATTTGCCTGGGTGGCATGCGCATTCATGTATACTATGCTGTTAACTGTGCGAAAAAATTCCACCCTATGCACGAAATGAATGAAGACGAAGGAGCTTGCTCCAGCGAATAAATTCGGTAAACCATGACTTCTCTGTACATATGTTCAATCATCATTGAATGAAGACGTCACGCGAGAGTTGTTGTGGTGTGATTATATATTCACGTTATATACACAATGTTTAGTATTTACATATCAGTGCACTATGTACAGATATATACAAGCTAATGCAGTATATACATATCGTTCCAGAGCTTATTACGGATCACTTGGCTCGGATGAGCGTTTTCGTTTTAGTATAATGGCTTTGTGATCCGTAAGTAGGGAGCCAGATGTTCCAGAATTATACGATGTAGTAGTGGTAAGTTCGAGAAGAATCCTGGCGGCGAACCGGCGCTGCAGCCGCATTGTGAGCCTCCGCGTGTCAACCTTGGCTTCCATAGTGTTCATAGTGGGTAGCGGTGTCGATGTCCGCAAAAGAGAACGGAAGCCTGCTGAGAGTCAAAGCTATATATAAGCGTAGTCACTTAGTGGTATCGTAATGTGTACAGAGAATGGAGCGAGCGTCGCCTGAGCGGTGAAGAGGCATGTCTTGAACGCTCTTGAAACGAAGAGCAGAGCTGCAGCTCTAGCGCCAGCAATGAGCAATAGCATACATACCAGTGCAACGACGAGAGACAACCCCCCCCCCCCCCAGCAAACGTAGCAAGCTCCTAAAACAGCTTTATTGCCCGAGATTGCATTTCACACCCTTGAATTTACGAACCTCAGACACCTGCTCATGACTGGTCAAGGCCAATGTTACTGCCATCCGTCGATGCCTTCGCATCCCATTAAAATTACGTCAAAATCAGTGCTAGTTTTGGTTTTAGGGAATATGTGAGAGGGCCATGGGGGGATGACTTCTCCAGGAGTGTATGCTTTTAGTCCTCTGATTCCGAACTGTAAATGTTTTGAGAGGTGGAGCTCCTTAAGCCGTGGGTTTGTCCGTCCTAGCTCGTCGTGGTTCGCGACCGCCTAGTTCGATGAATGATTTAGGAGGTGTGGACGGGGGGACGAGTAAACAGACAGACAGACAGACAGACAGGCAGACAGACAGACAGACAGACAGACAGACAGACAGACAGACAGACAGACAGACAGACAGACAGACAGACAGACAGACAGACAGAGAGAGAGATCAATTGAGGGACGCACGGATGGACAGACAAAAGCACGAATAAACATTTCGTCCCACTTATCATTAGTCACTCTGCGGATATGCTGCAATTTTTTAATTGATTGTGCACTCGTAGCGGTGGGCGGACATTCGAAGTTCTCGTTGAATGAAGTATGGTTAATGTGGATGTTCGGATTTCTTGTCTTTCAGCAGTTTTTATGCATAAAAGAAATTTGAATCAACTGTAAAGAAGTAATCCTTTGTTCATTTGTCTTTTATTGCTGATTTTATAAATTTTGAATCGGCCGAAGAGCGGGAGGACATGTGTTTAGCACTTCCTCCCCAGCCCCTTGTCACTTGCTCAGCGATATCTAATGTTGGGACGTGCTAGGTTGTCTCAATCGATTAGCGTGCCAAGTGTGAGTATGGCAAAGTTAGGGCATTTGATGTAGCGTACAGCAAACGGAAGCTGCAGTAGACCTCGTAAATCAAGTCAATCACGCGTTAGGTGAATATGGCTTATTTGGGGCATTACATGTTTTGCACGCGTATTCAGCGTGTTAACCTCAGAACCTCCAGACCCACGAAAGTTTTCGAGCTTTCCTAGTGGCAACTAGTAAGCGCAAATATTTGGACCCACTATTTAGGTGGGTATTGATTTTGCAAAAGTACGTAAATAAATCCCCTTCTCTGCAAGTCTGAGTGGACTGACAGATGTGCAGTGTCACTGGACTAATTGGTCAAGACGGCGGCCAAGTTGCCATCGACAAATGCGTTTGATGAAGTTCTTGAATTTGTGTGCACTCGGATGAATGTTTCTGCTTGTTTTTTGACATTTGGTTCGAATGTTATCAAGTATTCGAGTTTTATCGTATGTTGTACACGCCGTGTTTGCGACACGGCGTGTACAATCATGCACGTGACTTTTAACAGACGTTTTATGAGTAACAATCATCATCATTTCAATTTGAACCGCTAAGCCAGCATTCAAATTTTCCGCTCAAGAAAACAGTGCTGCTACTTCATGAATGTCGCGCCAACTTCTTTACCAAAACAAGAGAGCAAGATAGATGCCTCGGTGTTCTACGGCGTGCCAAGTAGGTGCTTTTGATTTTGTCTTTTTTCTCTAATTAAAACACGTGTTAAAGCAAAAATCGAGCTTGTACATTAAAATATAAGGGCTAAAGATCATAATATTGTGATTATGTTTTTTATTGTAGTAATATTCATGAAGCGGTGGTCACGTTTACGATGACGTGTCCATTTGTACACAACGTGTCACCATTGCACTCCGTTAGCGGCCTCCCTGTCAACATTATGCTACTGCTGCGGATGTAGCTTATCTGCTTTTGTCGGTTGTTTTCTGTTTTTAGATATCCGCAATCATGCCCGAACAAAACTCGGCGGTTGATCAGCTTTTTGAGGCTATCATGAATGGAGACGTATCAGACGCTGAGCTTTCGGACGATGAAGTCGCCGATGCACAATTTGTTGAAACGGTAAGCGGAATGTGGAGAAAAGTTTTGCTAGCTGCTGCATCATTTTGCGTTTACAATTGCAGGAAACTGCATCGGACG